CCAAAGTGTTTATTATAGGAAAAGTTTTAAACTATTGATGAGCAAACAGAAAAAGTTACCTCCTGTAATGTTTACATCCTTCTAAGTTAGAAAAATGTTTAAAATACAGACTATGTCTTATATTTCTTTTTTATTCGTGAACACTGCTTGCTGCCTGAGAGGTGAATCTCTGAACTCTGGAGCAGCCAGGAACAAGACTTCTTCCTTTGTCAAATCTTTAAACATGAGAACAGCAGGTTTTATACTATTTTAATTTTTTTTAGTGTTAAAGGGTTATAGGAGGCACTTCGTCATGGTGGAAAGAGTATGTACAGGCTTTGGCACCCAATTCTAGTTCCACTCCTTTTTTTCTTAACTATATCTCTGGGCCATGTACTCTCCAAATTTCAGTTTTTTTAAACTCATTCAGCGAATATTTATGAATCTGCTAGGTTCACGTGTCAAGCCACATGCTGGGATTACAAAGAATGATCAAATATGTTTTTAAATTACTTATCAAAATTTCACACACAAAAAAATATAATAAAATTAAATAAATAAATCTACTTTTATGATAGTATAAAACAGTGATATTCAAAGTAGCCAATTTGTAAACTATATGTTCTTAGTCTGTGATGAGATGAACTAGCCCAGAATGCACCATACTGTTTCCTTTTTTGTAAAACTCTTGTTAATAGGGGGGAAAAAATGCTAGCTGAACTAAATGGTGTATTTAGTGATGTAGTTTCCTTCCTTCCTTCCTTCCTTCCTTCCTTCCTTCCTTCCTTCCTTCCTTCCTTCCTTCCTTCCTTCTTTCCTTCTTTCCCCTAGAGCTTTATTATAATGAGTTCTTTCTGTAGGGTTCTCACATGTAGGGTTCTTGCAGTCACGTAGAGCGCGACAACTTCCATAAGCCCGAGCGCCTCCCTTCCGACTGAGTGATGTAGTTTTGTTTCCTTCCTCACACAGCACTAACACATTTGCAGATTTGCACTGTACATAGGGTACACTTTATGTAGTTTGGTGTAAAATAATCCAAGAATTACTACTTACATTTAAATATAAACTGTGTTTTATTTTATTTTTTTCTATTTGGCCATTTGTAGTTTCTATTATGATTTTCTTGAATATTTAGCTGACAACTTGAAATTCTTTTCATTACGTAATTTTGCCTTTTTGCTTAATTGAATTTCCTAGGTATGGAAGAGTTAATTACGTTCTGGCTCGAAGAATAGAACTTTTAGAAGAAGTCAAACGATTACAGAAGAGTCTCGGCGTTCCAGGAGATGCTTCATATACTTGTGAAACTGCAGGCTATTTCTTCTTATATCAGGTAAGACATTAACGTTTTTAAATCATACTTCATTGTAATATGGTCTTCAGTTGGAAACTGAGATGGGTTCATGAGACCCTTCTTGAAAGTTTATTTTTTCAGTGAATTGACTAAAATACATGCTATTGCCAAAGCAATATTTATGAATGTTAAATGTGTTTCCGATAAGCTTCAATTTTCTTTGCTAACCTACCTTGCTTGATGACTCATTCAGTGAAAGGCCAATGTTATTACTATTTAAATTTTTCTTTTTTTTTTTTTTCCTCTTGCTATTGAAAAAGTTTCTAGTCTTTTTTTTGTTGTTGTTACTCTATGGATATAGCTAAATATTCTAGCTACCTGGTGGTAACAAAACGTGGATTGGTAACTTTTACTGTGTATATTAATCAACTCATGAAGAAAAACATAATCTCCTTTCAAATTTCCAGGAATAATTATGTTTTAGAATTAATTTTAAAGTAGGAGTTTAAGTAAAGATTCTTTGGACTTCAGTTTAGAGGTGCGCTTTTGCTTTTGTTAGGGTATGAAACCAGTGAGAAACAAAGCCAAATAAAATAAATAAAAATAAACTTTAATAGTCAGTTCATTTACTAATAATTTTATACCACGCAAGGAGTTTTTNAGACAAGTTGCTGTCCTTTTGTTCTTCAGTCTAGTTGTGGAGGACATTACTTCACTGGCCCAAGTTGGTATTGTGATCATTGCACTCTTCCTGGCTGAGGCAGTCGCTCGCCAGCCGTTGGATGGCGGCTCACGGCAGCTCACTCTGGCTGCCCACCGCTACGTGAGCTCATGGCAGCCCACTGCAGCTTCACTGCAGCCTACACTGTCACAGGAGACTCATGGCAGCCCAGCTCCAGGTCGAGCTGTTGTTCACTATCTTAGCTGTAGAGGGCACAGCATCACTGGCCCTCATGTGGGATCCAAACCGGGGCCCTGCTGCTCACAGCTGGTGTCCCAAGTCAACTCTTACCCAACGCGCCACTCAGCCGGCCCCCTATTTTGTTCTTTTTATTATCCCTTTTATAATGTTTCTTAATGGCTGCTCTAGAGAGTTAGAATATACATACTTTTCACAGTCTACTTAAAATCATTATTTTGCTTCTTGAGTGGAGGATCCTTACCTCCATATAAGTCCTTTATTTACCTTCCCCTTTTATGTTGTAGTTGTACATATTACATCTAAATACATCGAAAATGCCATCAGGCAATGTTACAATGTTTGCTTGCAAACATCAAACATATTTTAAAAGAACTCTAGAGGAGAATAGTCTATTATTATACTTACCACTTATCCTTTATCTTGAGTTTCATCTGGTATCATTTCCTTTCTGTGTGAAGAATTCCTTTTACCACTTTTAAGAGAAGGTTTGCTAGCAATGAATGATCTTTTGTTTTCCTTCATGTGAGAATGTCTCTAATTCACCTTCATTCTTTAAAGATAATTTTCAGTGAACATATAATTCGGCATTGACAGTTTTTTTTCAGCACTTTAAAAGTGTTATCCCACTTCCTTCTGGCTTCTTTGGTTTCTGATAAGAAATCCAGTTATTTGAAACATCCTTTTTGTTAATGTAATGTATCATTTTTCTCTGGTTGCTATTAATATTTTTTCTGTGCCTTTAGTTTTCAGCCATTTAATTATGATGTATCTGGGCTTAGATTTTTTGGGGGTTATTCTGTCTGGAGTTTGCTGAGCTTGAATCATTAGATTTCTGACTTTTGCCTGATTTAGGAAATTTTCAGCCATTATTTCTTCAAATACTTTTTCTACAAATATTATTTCAAATACATGGTCCTCATGTAAAACATGACAGGAAGCTCTCAGAACATACTGAACATCTAATGAAACTTGCGTGGTAGTGTAAACCTCTGAAAGTACTGATTTTCTATAAATACATAT